GTCTGCGGCGGGCACAGCTGCCTCCCAGGGGAGAGGAACGGGTTCCTGAGATCTGCGGCGGGCACAGCTGCCTCCCAGGGGAGAGGAACGGGTTCCTGAGATGCACCCGGACCCAGCCCCATGGCAGCAGCACAGGCGGTGAGCAGTCAGAGCGTGCTGGGTGGTCAAGAGCCCTCCCTGGGTGTCCACTGGGATCTGTGGCCAACACCACCCAGGGTTCCCCAGGCCTTCCTAACCGCTGCTCAGCCAGGCCCAGCTGGGGGCTGAAGTTACAGTGGCCAGAGAGAAGACAGCCCTTCCAGGCCTCGCTGGGCCCACCTCGGCTGCCCTTGCAGGCTGCTGCACTGCGGAGAAATGAAACCTCGAGTGATTTTTTTAATGGACCAGGGGAGGAGGGAGTAAAAAAATTTAGCAGTGCATAATTAGGGAGCCCACAAGTTCTCTGGAAGCTAATGAATAAATAAACCCTTGACAACTTCCCCCAACTAGCGCTGACAAGATAATTGGACCTAATGTCTTAATTTCAATGCTTTGGATGCATTTGACTTTTGTTAATGAGACGTTAGCATGCATTGCATGAGAGTGGCTTGTTTGTCGCAGGGCAGCTGAAGTGTGATTGGTCGAAGGTTTGTCTTTTGTTTATTTTATTGGTATATTGCCCTGTAGGACAAAGAAGGTGAAGCTGGAGAGGGTTATTTCACAGCTGTTTGGTTTAGGTTTATTGTTTACTTTCCCTTTGCTCATTGTCCTGGCGGGAAGCCAGAGGAAAACCTGGGGCTTCCAGGGGCTGGGGCTTGGGCGTGGAATGGGACTCAGGGCCGCTGCAAGCTTCTCTCCCCAGCCTGAGGTGCTGCCACACGACTCCTTTATCAACCCCTGGAATAATTCTCACTGTGATGAGGGAGCACAGAGAGCAGGTGGAACGGCCTGGACCAGCCTGTCTCTTTAGAAGGGAAAGAGATTCGGATCACAGTGGCCTGTGGTGGCTGGGGTGGGCTCTGAGTGCAGGAGCTCATGCAGGAAACGGGCCTGAGCTCAGGGGGCGGCAGGAGAGGAGCAGAGGAAGGTAAAGTGGGGTGACCTGGGCCCCCATCCCTCCAGGCACACAAAGCCTCGGTGAGCAGAGCCTTGAGTGCAGAGGAGCTGGGGAGGGAAACCCAGTCTCCGCTCAGGAGTTCCAGGGGCACTTTCGTAACCTTCCTCCCTGACCTGGAAAGTGGTCTGAGGTTGGCACCTAGTGCCGTGGAGGTCACAGAGTCCAGTGGTCTGAGGTTGGCACCTAGTGCCGTGGAGGTCACAGAGTCCGTTCCGTGAGGCCAGGCCGTGAGCTATCGGTGCCCCTGAAAAGAAGCCTGGGCCTGCTGGGCTGAGGGTCTCAGCGAGCGAGAGGAGGAGTCCATCTACACGGCTGTTCGTGCGCAGGACTTTGATTTCTATGATATACTCTAATGTGCATCGACTGTATGTAATCTATCCGTGACTGCACTGCTGACTCCTGCAACCACCAGAACCAACCTTTAATTAACATCACTGTATGTACGACTTACAGATTCAAAGGGGTGACTGAAGTTAGTCTTAAGACAGAATCCAAATGATGGGGTTTTACGCACTAGAAATGGCCCTTGAGGCGAAGGATGAGGTCACGATTCCTGGGGAACTGTGGGGCTACGGTGGCGGAAAGGGAGTTACTGGTAATCCCTTCCCTCATTCGCACCCAGCACACGTAAAATACCACTGCCTTTCCTAGCACATGTGCATTCTCGTTCCTCCGTTCTGATTTGATATATTTTTATCCAGGCACACATTTCCTCGGACACGCAGGTGTCATTGGCTGGATTCTCTTTCTCCTTCCTTTTCTCTAAAACCTTCACTCATTTGCCAATCTTGGCAGACAGCTGGCATAATTTTTTATAGGTCCAGAATTTTATAATAGACTGGAATTATTTTGAGTTCTGGATGCCCCCATTTTTTAAAATGTCTTAGGACATGTCCCTGAGATACGGAAATGAAAACACGAAAAAGTTTAATTTCCTGCCTGAAATGGAGATGGGGAAGAGAAAATGTCAGAACAAACACGAATTAATTAACAGTAATATAAATTATCCTTTTTCTTTAACGAAGGAGGAATCACGCATGGCAGAGGTATGAGAGCAAATACCTGCCTGGCTCTTAGATTTAGAGAAATCTGAATTTGCATCCCGGCATTGTGTGACCTTGAGTAAGTTATTAAGTGCCTCTAGGACTTCATTTTTTAAAAATACAAAATAGGGATGACTTTCTGCACTCATAGGACTTGTGTGAGGATTAAACGAGATATGATAGCAGAGGACACCTCATGTGGGTTCAGGCACTGATTAGTGTCTGAGCTTTGTTCATCGTCCGGAAGCTACAGATTGGATGGAGGGAGGTCAGCATGAGCCAGCCTGAGGCCTCCTGCTGTTTATGTGCAAGACTCACCTACGCAGGGGGCCAAAGTCGTTCTTAGCACCCACGCTGAGGGTGGGTTTCTCCGAGGCCCCCCATCGACTGTGGACACAAACACCCCCTGCTTCCCTCTCTTGCCAGGAGCTCCTGACCCTGTGAACTCCAGGCAGCTCTTTTCCCAACAGATCTTGACACCCGGGGAAACATTTCTTGAAGCAATTGCACAACTGCATTTTATGCCTGGAAATTCCACTTAGGCTGTGCTCCTAGGGAAGGAATCTGGACCCTGCCTCTGCCCAGGGGCCCTCCAGGTGCCCCCTGCGATCCTGCCTCTCTGGAGGGGATGCTGTGCTCACCCCAGGCATTCATGGGGGCCCCTGGAATCCTCTTCCAGATCAGATTAGCTGAGGCTAGAGCTGGTGCCAGCGTGGACTGCGAACCGCCTGGTGGCTAAGGCCATTTTCTCCAGCTTCTGTGACGGTGACTACGTGTGACCCGAGTGGAGAGAGGGGAATTAGTAATTGGTTTCAAGGTAAATTAACGGAGGAGATGTAATGAGGAATGTTGACTTTGTGCGATATTACTCGGTGCTCCTGTGCAATGATTGGATTTGCAAAGTCTGTGACTCAGCTTGTTCTTTGGGGAATGAACCCATAAAATTTGAGAGCTAATGAGAGCAGCCGTGTTCCTCTGACGCCAGGTTCAGATCCCAGAGCCACCTGGGGGAAAGGCCGTGAGGAATGAAGAATCTGCATTGGAAATGGCACGAGGGACCCTGCAGACTGACCCCATTCCTTCTGGAATCCCTTCTCCTCTGCCTGGTGAGTGTGCGCTTCTTTCTCCCAGAGGTTCCCGTTTGCCAGGTGGTGCTGGCTCTGACACCCACCCAAGGCAGCCGCCCCGTGAGCCCCCAGTGGGCCGGGCTCCCTCCCCGTGAGGTACACACCCCGCAGGCGCAAGGGGGGTGCAGATGGGCTGAGTGTCGTGGGGATAAAGGCAGGAGGGGACTGAGAGGAAGGCAGGGTTGGACGTCAGCCGGCTGGGCAGGGGCATTTATTGGGCACCACTGGGGTCTGCACAGGCTGGTGCCACCTGAGTGTGGAGCCGGGTGCGGAAAAGGAAATGGAGAAAAGAAAGGTCCCTGCCGTTGGGTGGCTTAAGACTCGTGCAGGAAAATCAGTGGATCCGTGCGAGGCGCAGAGGACGAGTGTGAGTCCAGGAATGCAGCAGTTGATGCTGCAGGCCTCACAGCGCTGGGCCCGGGGCCGGCTGACTGCACGGTCCACCCAGCCAGGGCAGCTCAGGGTGGAGTCATTGCAGGCCTCATCCAACTCGAGACTCAGCGTCCCCTCGTCTTACTGTTCATGGTGACGTTGGGAGTCACCAACCTTCTATCGGATGCTAAGTATTGTTTTAATAGGTTTTGATATTTTTAAATATAAGCCATGGCTGTACTCAGAACAGATGGTTCTTATTTATCACGTGGCTTTCTGAGAGCTGTGTGTGTAGCTCTACGCGGGTGACCTGGGTGAAAGCAAGGCTGCAAAGTGGCTTCTGCCCTTCCAAGCTTTGGCAACTGAGCAGGGAGGTGCTGGTTCCTCCTCCCACCTACACCCCCGTCAGTGCCGTCCTCAGTAACGGGCAGTGTGGTCCTCGCTTTTCCCCCTGGCATCTGTCACTGACGGCCGCGAATCAGGCAAGGGCTGTGTGGAGCCCACATCGGGAGCGTGGCAGCGCGGTGGCCCTGAGGCTGCAGGATGGAGCCAGCGCACCTCACATCCCAGTCAGTGAAGAGCCACGGGCCTGGGTTCCTTTCCACCTTTGCACCGTCAAGCGGTGTGGCCTCTTACACACCCTCAGTGCCCGTGTCCTGGGTCCCTTCTGATTGCCACAAAGCGTCAGGAGTGGGGGCTGGACCGCGAGGATAAAGTCCCTTCAAATTGTGACCATTTGTGGTTGAACCGTGTGACTCACAGCACGGAGTTTCTGAGTTGCTTTGACAGGAGTTAGAGTTTCGAGGTAAAAACAAGGTGAGTACAATACTGAGATAAGCAGATTCTAGGTTCGCCCTTGGAGAGGGGCACAGTTTGTAGGTGTGGAGGAACGGGACACACAGCCTGAGACAGAAGAAGATCGAAGGGAATCATCCAAGAGGAAAGGCTCAGGGGATGGGTAGCTGTGGGGACAGGAGAGGCAGGACCAGCCCCGAAGAGCACGAGGACATGTGTCCCGTCCTCTCTGGAGCTGCTGAACGCCCGAGACACTGAGAGGAGCGGAGCGAGGTCACCTCCCCTTCCCAGGCCTGTGTGTGGGTCTCTCTCTCCCTCACACACAAGCGTGCGCAGCGTGAGGTGTGCACGTGGTCTCAGCGGACATCCGAAAGCCTGCGAGTGCTTTACCTGCCCCAGACCTCTCGCGCCGTCTTCCCGGCAGAGGAGGAAACAGGTGCTTCTAACCCAGCTGGGCATTAGGAGGCGCCAGAGGAGCTGACGTCTGACTTGTTTAGAGGAAGATTTAGAAAAGATTTTTGCTTAGAAAGGAAAAGCCGGGAGCATCAGCACATCACACGGCTTCTGCAGCTGCGCTCCCTGCTAACGCGGGGTTGGCCTGGCTGAGTCTCTGGCGCTGTTGGGGGTTTGCCCCCAGCCCCGGGAAGTGGCTCCCCAGGACGCCTCGAAGGGGCAGAGCTGCTGCTCCCCAGCCAGGAGCCAAGGCCAGCCCAAGGTCTGACAGATTTTTTCCTGTTTTCTTCTCAAAGGTTTATAATTTTTGATTTTACATTTATTTCTATGATCTACTGTGAATCAAGTTTTGTATACGGTGTGATAAAGTTCGTGTAATAGATAACCAATTGTCTCAGCATCCTTTGTTAAGAAACACTTTTTTTTTTTTTTTTTCCTGCTGAAATGCCTTTGTACTTTTGTGGAAAATTAATTGTCTATATATACATGGGTCTATTTCTGGGCCTCCCAGTTTCTTCCCATGGATCTATTTATCTGCATTTAGGACAATATCACACTGGTTGGAGTGTTACAGTCTTATAGCACATTTTGAATCAGATGTTAGGCCTTTAATTTTGTCCGTTGTACTTTCTGATAAATTTTAAAATGATTTTATTATGCATGTGTTAAGTAGTTTGATTTAGCCATTCCACAATGTATATAAATTTATCAAAACATCTTCTTGTACACCACAAATATTTACAATTTTTTTATCAACTGAAAAAATAAACAAAAACTTAAAACAAATTATTTTCTGAATTTCTTAAACAATATTTCTGGGACTTGGAATTGCATCAAATATTTAGATCAGTTTGGGCGGATTTGGTAACATGATTGGGTCTAATGACCTATGGACGTGGTGCATTTTCTCTGTTCCTTCGGCCTTTTATTTTCGCTCAGCATCGCTTTATAGTTTTCAGTGTGGGGTGTTGCACATCTTTGCCTGACTTGATGCTAAATATTCCTACTTTTTAATCTTATTCTTAAGAGTATTCTAAGCATTTCAAGTTCCAAATATTATTTGTTAGTATTACAGAATAAAGTTTATTTTCTGTCATGAATACATGCTTTCAAATAGGCTTTATTTTTTAGAACAGTTTTAGATTTACCAAACAATGGAGAGGGTAATATAGAGAGTCCCATGCACCTGCACCCAGGTTCTTACATTAGCATGGACAGTCACAATTAATGGACCTATGCTGGCACAGTATCAGTAACTAAAATCCATACTCTATTCCAGTTTCTTTAGTTTTCCCCTAATGCCCGCCCTGTTTCAGGATCCCATGCAGAATCCCAGGTTACTTTCAGCCGTCGTGTCGTCCTGGCCTCGCTTGGCTGTGAGCGGCTCAGGCTTCCATTGTCTTGGGCAATCTTGACAGTTTTGAGGACTACTCGGGTGTTCTGCAGAGCGTCCCTCAACTGGGATTTGTCTGATGTTTTCCTCGTGACTAGACAGGGGTTATGTATTTTTGGGAGGAAGGGGGATCACAGAGGTGAGATGTGCCGTTCTCACCCCACTGTATGAAGGTGTGGACTCAATGCCAGTGTTCCTAACCATGGTCTTGGGCTGAGGCAGTGCTCACCAGCTTTCTCCACGGTAAAGCTGCTCCTTTCCCTGCCCCTCGTGTTGCGCTCTTTGGAAGGAAGTTACTGTGCACAGCCCGTGCTTCAGCAGAGCGGCCGGGCTGCCCCTTCTTGAGGGCAGGGAATCTACAGGGATTTGAAATTCTTCTGCGTGGGACCCTAGTCTCGTCTTTCCACGTTACTCACTTATTCAATCATTTCTTTATATCAGTATGGACTCATGGATGTGTACTTTATGCTTTGGGCTATAATCCAATAATTGTTTATTTTGTTGCTTAACGGTGTTCTACTTTTGGCCATTGGGTATACATTCAGCTGGCTCCTGTGTTTCTTATCATCATCCATGTGGTTTTAAAAATTGGCTGGTTTTTCCTTTTTTCTTTTTTTTTAGCACGATTTAACTTTCTGGGACTATAAGATGTTTCAGGCTTACCTTGTCAATTTCTCACCCCAGTCTTAGAATCAACCATTTCTGCAGTAAGCCCTGATTTCTTTTGTGGAAGAATGACATTAAAAACCAAGATCTGGGTGCCAGGTACAATGGACTTTTGTACAGTGAATGTGTATCCTGCAAACGTGCATTCATTATTATGTGTGTGTGTTTTGTAGTTTTTATTTTTTTAAATTTAAATAAGCATGTAATCTGTGAAAATAGGCAGTTTTATTCATTTATTTATTTCTGCTCAATCTGATTGTCGTCTTCTTTTTTTTCTAATTTAGCTGCTTAGAACTCCCAAAACAACAATAATTTAGAGATAAGAACCATGCAGCCTCTCCTGTTACTAATTTTAGGGGAAAATATAGAATATTTCGTCAGTAAATGTGATGTTAATTACAGGTTTTTAATAGATTCCTATTATCAGGTTGATAGCTGAGAGATTTTGTTAGGAATAGACGTTGGATTTTGTCTAATGCTTTTTCTGCATCAATTGAGATAATCACATAGTTTCTCTATTTTAGTTTGTTCATATGGTGGATTGCAATGAACGATTGATTTTTGAACGTTTTCTGACACTAAACACCACCACTTTAAGTGGCAAATTCCCAGAAAACTCTCCACACTCCAGAAACCGGCCACATTGGGGGTCCCCAGGCCACCCGCACTTCCGACTCATTGGCTACCAGTGTAGAGTATTTCCCAATCTTCTCAAGGGGGTCAAGGAAAGTTGTGAACTTGCTGCTTATCTGTTTTTTTATTGCAAGTTTGGGAGTAAAATGCTCTTTTCAACTCACCAAGCAGAAATAGGAAAACCTCCGCACGCTTGTGTGTACTTTGGTATCACTGTTTGCTCCTAAATAGTCTCATTCGCTTCACTCTTCGTATTTAGTGGTTTCCTTTATACACACACGCAGAAACACACACACACACACACACAAACACACACACAGAGACACACACAAACACACACACGTGCACAAACACACACAAACACACACACACACAAACACACACACACAAACACACAAACACACAAACACAGAAACACACAAACACACACACAAACACACACACAGAGACACACACAAACACACACACGTGCACAAACACACACACAAACACACACACACACAAACACACACACAACACACAAACACAGAAACACACAAACACATACACAAACACACACACAAACACACACACAAACACACACACGTGCACACACAAACACACACAAACGCACACACAAACACACACACACGCACAAACACAGAAACACACAAACACACACACAAACACACACAACACACACACAAACACACACAACACACACAAACACACACACAAGCACACACACACACAAAACACACACAAACACACAAACACACACACAACACACAAACACAAACACACACACACACAACACACACACAAACACAACACACAAACACACACAAACACACACACAAAACACACACAGAACACACACACACAAACACACACACAAACACACACGTGCACAAACACACACGCACACACACAAACACACGCACAGAGACACACACAAACACACACACGTGCACAAACACACACAAACACACAAACACACACAAACACACACACAAACACAGAAACACACAAACACACAGAAACACACACACAAACACACACAACACACACACAAACACACAAACACACACAGCACACACACAAACACACAACAAACACAAACACACACACAAACACACACACAACACACACACAAACACACACACAAACACACACAAACACACACACACAAACACACACAAACACACAAACACACACACAACACACAAACACACACAGCACACACACAAACACACACAACAAACACAAACACACACACAAACACACACACACAAAACACACACAGAACACACACAAACACACGCACACACACACGCACACACATGCACACACAAACACGTGCACAAACACACACGCACACACACAAACACACGCACAAGTTAGCACAACTTAGCAGTCTGTAAGTAAACCACTTCCTGTAAAATGTTGGACACTCACGAAATCGTTTCCATTTACACCTCGTGTCCTTTGCACCTGTTTCTCATGATTTTTGTACATGTTATAAATCCCAAATATGTGGCTATTATTTTTCATTTAAGCAGTTTATTATCTTTTTTTTTTTCCCCTGAGACAGAGTATTGCTCTGTCACCCAGGCTGGAGTGCAGTGGCGAGATCTCGGCTCACTGAAACCTCTGCCCTCCTGGTTCAAGCAATTTTCCTGCGTCAGCCTCCTAAGTAGCTGGGATTACAGGTATGCGCCACCGTGCCCAGCTAATTTTTGTATTTTTAATAGAGATGGGGTTTCACCATGTTGGCCAGGCTGGCCTTGAACTTCTGACCTTGTGATCTGCCTGCCTCGGCCTCCCAAAGTGCTGGGATTATAGGCGTTGAGCCATCGCACCCGGCCCGTTACCTGAGTTTTTTGTCAAAATTAAAAGTAAGCCTTTAATAAATACCTTCTTTTTAAAACATTTCCGACATATATTTTCCTTTCTATAAATACAGTTAACGTTTGGTATAATGTCATTTAGTCCGAGGAACTTCAACAGGTATGCAGCAACATTTGTTCAGAATATTTTGTCTTAAAATGTTTCTATTCTATGTTCAATTTTGAAGGCTATTTTTGCTAGATAGAGAATTTTAGGCTGACTTTTTTTTTCTTTTGATACTTTAAATATGCTCTTGCATCATCTTCAGGCTTGCATTTTTTTTGTTGGTAATCTGCAAACATTCCAATATTTCTCCTTTATAGAATAAGTTTTTCTTCCTTCTGACATCTAAGGTTTTCTTTCTGTCACAGTTTTGTAGCAACTTAATTAAAATGCACCACGTGTTTTCCATTGGATATATATTGCTTGGGTTTTATCACCTTTCTTGATATTGCCCCACATGGCACAGCCCTGCAAGTTCCAGCAGCCTCCATATTTGTGGATTCCAACCTCTGTCTCCTCACTTCAGTGAGACAGCTGTGCCCCGCTTGGTTTCCCTTTCCTCGGAAACCAGAACGGGAAGGGGACTCCGGAGGGGGAGGCCTCTCTCGGGCGTTGCAGTGCTATGCTGTGTGTTGTCTGATTTGGGAGAACCGTTACTTCATGCATCTTGTTCAGCTCTCTCAATGTGCACACATCGG